TTTATATCCAAATCAAATCCCAAATCAGTATGTAAATTGGAGAAATCCATATATGGGCTAAATCAAGCCTCAAGGAGTTGGAATATCCGTTTTGATGAAGCGGTCAAAACGTTTGGCTTCATCAGAAGCAATGAGGATGTGTGTGTGTATACAAAATGCAGCAAGGATAGCGTGGTCTTTATGGTCATATATGTTGATGACATTCTGATCATAGGGAATGATATCCCCTTATTGAAGTTCATGAAAGAATGGTTATCCATTATCTTCATGATGAAAGATCTAGGTGAAGCCTGTTATATCCTTGGGATTAAGATCTATAGAGACAGAGTTAACAGGATGTTGGGTCTTTCACAATCCACGTATATTGACAAAATACTACATCGATTTAAAATGGAAGAATCTAAGAAAGGATTCCTCCCGATGGGTCATGGGATATCGTAATCAAAGAAGGATAATCCTTCAACTGATGATGAGATCAAACGCATGAGAGGGATTCCATATGCTTCTGCAATTGGTTCAATCATGTATGCTATGATCTGTACTAGGCCAGATGTGGCTTATGCGCTTAGTATTGTTGGTCGATATCAAAATAATCCAGGAGAACGGCATTGGAGTGCTGTTAAGACTATTCTTAAGTATCTTAGACGAACTAAAGAATATTTCTTGGTTTATGGTGGACAAGAGAGACTAATAGCATCCGGATACTCTGACGCTAGCTTCATGACAGATAAGGATGACTATAAGTCACAATCAGGATATGTTTTTAATCTTAATGGAGCAGCAGTAGACTGGAAGAGTTCCAAGCAAGACACTACAGCTGATTCGACAACAGAAGCCGAGTACATTGCTGCATCAGAAGCAGCTAAAGTGGCCATATGGATACGTGAATTCCTCAAAGAATTAGGCGTTCCAAATGACAGTCATCCAATAACCGTTTATTGTGACAATACCAGTGCTGTTGCACAAGCAAAGGAACCAAGATGCGACAAGAGAAATGGACATGTGCCGAGGCGCTATCATGTGATTCGAGAGCAGATAGCAAGAGGAGAGGTTGCAATAGAACATGTTTCCACTGAGGACAATTTGGCTGATCCCTTCACCAAACCTTTGAGCTGCGAGAAACATACTAGACATTTTGAGAATCTAGGTGTTAGACGCATTGGTGATTGGCACTAGGCCAAGTGGGAGATTGTTAGTATATATGTCCTAGCGACAATCATTTTTTTAAAGACATATGTACTTGATCACATTTAGTTTTTATATTTGATATAAACACGGTATTACACTTTATGAATGATTGTTTTTCGATTGTCAATGTTTTATTCATAATTGTGTTCCCTTGGATTTATGTTGTCAATAAGTAAGTGAGAGCTTATATGATATAACATAAGGTCCTAAAATAGCCCCAATCAATGATCATCAAGAATGGGATATTGATGATATGCGATGAGATTGGTATGTGAACTGCATCATACTTTTAGAAAGTATAGTTGATCTCACGACTATGAGTTCCTGTAATTCATGATGGTCACATAGATAGTTTAGAGAATATTGACATACCCACTGAGAAACCATTTGATAAGTTCTATTCATGTGTCTATGGGATTATCGGCGTATAGAGTAGTGTAATAGTCCTCCGACTTGAGGTCAATACGTACTACATGTGCGGAGTGATGTACTTTGATCATGACCAACGCTTGCACTCCAATCGGGGTAGATACGGCATGTGTTGGGTGCATCACGAAGCACATGGAGTAGTAGTTGAGCCAAGAAAGGATTCATTCCTCATAATAGATTAAGAGAGAACATTCTACTTCTCATATCTAGATGGATCATAAAGTCATTGGCCAATGCAAAGATATATTCGTTTTGGATATCGAATATGATCATTATGGATCATCTAGAAAGATTGAGAGACAGAGACTGAGTTATTGGGATAGACACAATATCATGTTCTAGACTTAGTTGAATGTTCGTTGAATGAAATGACCGTATCACTATGAGCTCTATATTACAGGGAGTTTGAATAGTCCTCGCAAACGTCCTTATATATTAAGTTTGTCCGGTAAATCGTCTAGGGATTCTACTAAAACCTTAATTTGATTAGTGCTTAATATATAAGGCCCTATGGATCACACAACAAGTGATTATACCTTCCGATTGAATTGTTAGAAGAAATTAAATATTATAAATTGGATAAAATAATATTTAATTAGTAATACTGAAAATGAATTAAATATTAATTAGATTAAACATATTTAATTCATGAAGTTGAAGGAGAGTTCTATTTGATAGAATTAATTAAGTGGAATAAATTAGATTTATTGTACTTAATTAAGATTTATTTATTATTAAATAAAGTTGCTATTTACTTTTATGATTTGGAACTAAAAGGAAAAGAAAAAGAAAATAAATAATAATATATAGATATAACAAATAGAGAGTGGCGTGCCACTTCTCTATTGTTATTAATATTATTATTAATTATTTTGTTTTATTCAACTATTTAATTAAATAATGAGTTTTGGTCCTAATAGGATTAAAACTCATTAATGAAAAACACTTTCATTCTGATTGGGAAAGTAGTTTAGAACTAGTATAAATACATCATTCTCCTTCATAATTGAAAGACCAGTTTTCAGATTCAGTATTACCAGTTTATTTCTCTACGAAGAGATTTCCTAGCCTTTCTCTTAGGGAGATCTAACCGTTCTTTCGGAAAGGGGAAATCACGTGGATACCAAAGGTCAAGGATTATCACCGCTAGGCTGGAAAATCTGTAAGTTATAACTCAGATCTGTTATTATTATCATATTCGTTATTTTGTCATAATCAGGGAAGATCTGTTTGAGAAAAATTTAAACTTCCGTTGCCGTACTTTCGAGGTACGTTACATCAATTTCCTAATAGTTACATCTCCTTGTTCCCAAGTTACATTTGAATAGGCTAAAGTTACATTCACAAATTACATCTGACTTGTTCCCAAGTTACATTTAAATCAAAACAGTTTACATTTCAATGAGTTACATTTGAATGGGTGTAATTTACATCTTGATAAACTTGAAGTTACATGTGAATTACCATGATTTAATTTACATTACATATAACCTTGGGAGCAGGATGCTCACCCTGCACCGCTCCCATGGTATAGCAACTGGTTTTTATGCCTTTGCTCGGAAATTCACATTCATAGTGTGCAATTTTTTTGACAGGTCAGCAAGTGACTACCAGCGTTGGAAAGAAAAAGAAAAGCACAATATCTAACTTATTGACGTGGCACACTAAACTTAGACTAAACAGAACCGCATTGCGGTTGCTTTTAATTAAGGTGACAACTCCTGTACCCATTTAAAAATTGGGGTACTGTACCTACAGATCACTTGATTGGTCCAAATCATTATATCATTTTTAATTTAGATTTAAATAATTCAACTGCAACATTCTAATTAGTCCATGTGGACAAATGTATGGTACCATAAGGTCAGTTCTTATACCGTGGTATCATCCCACGGTGAGCACCGTGCTCCACTCCCAAAACGACGTAGTTTTGCACATTGTTTTTTAAAAAATTCGCGTGAACAGTACACGCGCGTACAGTACACGTGTGTACAGTAACTGTTTTTTCTTTCTTTTTGTTCCAGTAGCATGAATGATGTAACTCGTGTGTAAAGATATGTAACTTACGTTAGTGATCAATGTAACTCACATGTGTTCGAAATGTAACTTGTCAAATACATACTATTACAAATACAATATTGATTTCAATGTAAATAATGAAAAAAAGAGTCTAATTGCACAATTGCTTTAGGTAAACCGTGACTATGTTTGTTTATCATGACCATAATTTTTTTTAAAAGAAATCATTTTTTTGTTTCAATAGCAATGGTTGATTTTTTAATGTAACTCATGTTATTACAAATGTAACTCGCGTTGATGACAAATATAACTTAGGTGTATACATAATGTAACTTCTTGGAAAATTGAACAATTTTTTTGTGTGTGTTTGAAAATAATATATATATATATATATATATATATATATATATATATATATATATATATATATATCCTAAACATTGATTTCAATGTAAACAATGAAAAATTGATCCTAATAGCTTGATTACTTTTTTATAAATAATTTTTTTATAAATAATGAATATGTTTTATTTTTAATATTAGACAAATAAAAATGATATAGATGTAACTCGCATATATTTTTTTATTCCGTGGTGTAACTCACATAAATTAGATATAACTCACGTATATTAAGATGTAACTTGCGCAGAAGAAGATGTCATTTCATGATATTTTATCAAATGTAACTTCAAGAATCCAAATAAATAAATTCAATGTTTTAAAAACCTCTCAAAAATTATAAATTCGGTAGTAATTTCAATTGAAGAAAAGGGTAAAAAAGTAGTGTATGAAAGAGACGAGTATTTTCCTCATATTGTCTCCCTCCAATTTGAATCAAAGAGATAATAAATTTAGTCTTGGGTATGACTTATTACATACGTATAACGTATTGATCTGTGCATGGAGTAGATCTGATTGGGATCAGAGATTTATAGGGTTTGTTGAACTGTTATGCTTGTTGATATGCACATGGAGTATTTTTCTTCTTGAATGGGCGTGCAGAAATTGACCAGAAGAGAGCAGGGAACTAAGAACAACAGAAGAGACCTGCTATTCCGATGCGGTGCTCCCAGGAGTCCCAGATTCAGAGCAATTACAGAGAGAAAGGAGGATCGTTGCTTGGAAGCAGAGCAGATGCACAACAACGAAGGTCGGGACTCACTGTTTGAGTGGCGCAACATTTTTTTTAATATAAAAATTGTACGTGCTCACGGTGCAACGATCCCATGGTATATTTTGCCGTTTAAGTTACCATATAATCTACCTTTAATTAATTGACATTTGGTATTTTCTGACCTGGCACACAAACTCCATATCCTTATTTTGGATCGATACAAAAAGAGGTGGAATCCCCCCCTAGAGCCCTGCCGAACCCGATTGGGAGGTTAGTGACACCCGGGTGTCTCCGTATCCTCCGGAGGTGGAATCTCCATATCCTTATTTTGCAATTTTTGCCTCTCGTGTCTCTCCCAGACTCCCTCTTTCGCCGTCCCTTCCCAGCACAATTTAAATTCCTCCCTCCGGTTCCTTGAGTATATATTATGACTGCATGTGGTGCTTAAAGATGGCCATTTTGCCCAGTCATCAGTTCTACCCAAGAAGAACAAGGCTGCAGCTTCTCAGGTATAGTTCTTCTGCCCCCTTCAAGAAACAACCTTTCGGCGAATCAAATAGAACCCTCTCCCCAGATAGTAGTTTAGGGAAGACTCATAATAAAAATTCAATTTTTATTCCGAGAAACAACGTTAAGAAGTGGGGCCTGCAACAGTCAAGTTATGCTCGTTCTTGGTTAGACAAGTGGAATGAAGACTTTAAGAACAATAAGTTGAAAAGACCTCAAATTGTGTTGAACTATAGGAATGGTGGGGAATATTCTGATTCAGATGGAGAAGGGAGTGATAGTGGTAGCACGATGGAGAAAATTGTTCAAAAATTAAAAGCAAATGGGTATACTGATGTTGTTAGTGACAAGAATACGAAAGTAGAGAGAGTGATAGAGAAAGGTTCTATTGAGGATATATTTCATGTTCGAGAAGGTTTATTGCCAAATCCTAGAGGTGGGTTTTCTGAGAAGCATCCATTTGGGGATGAAAGTGTGCTTGATAGTGATGGAGAAGTTAGATTTCCATGGGAGGAGTCAATAAAGGAAGAAGAAAAGAGGTATTCAGTGAGGAAGAAGAGTAGTATTTATTTGGCTAAGGTAAGTCTACCTGAGCCAGAGTTAAGAAGGCTGACCAATTTTGCTCTTGGGATAAAAAACAAGATGAGGGTTACTGGGGCAGGTGTTACCCAACATGTTGTAGAAACTATTCACGAGAAATGGAAATCTTCTGAGGTGGTGAGGCTGAAAATTGAAGGTCCTCCAGCTCTTAATATGAAGAGGGTGCATGAGATACTAGAGGTAAACTATTCATCTTTCCACTCCGCCCACTCTTTCAATTTCTCACCATGTAGAAATTGTTTCTATTTGGTTGTGTTTCTTCTAGTTCCTATATCTGTTAAGTAGGGCTCATACTCCATGACACAATAACGAATCTGGGTTCCAGGAGCCGGTTGTAAGGGTGAATTTGGCTATAATGACTGAAGTTGCTGAAATAATGGCTTCTATTGAAGCAATTGATGATTTATGTACAAATTTTTAAATGTATTTTTATTCATAAAGCAGAGAAACAATCTATAAAGAATAGCTAAAGTGACCCTATTCAGCAACTTCAGCTAACAAAGTACGTCATACTTTGGTGTTAAATGCCAGTTTGATTACTTTGGTGTCGACGTGTCGTAAATTTTTTGTCATTTCAAATCGTTGATAAATAAACCTTTGGCTATAATGACTGAAGTTGCTGAAATAATTGCTTATATTGAGGCAATTGGTGATTTATGAACAATTTTTTAAATGTATTTTATTGATAAAACAGAGAAACAATCTATAAAGAATAGCTAAAGTGACCCTATTTACCAATTTCAACTAACAAAGTAACTCTGAACTAACTGCCAGTTTGGTTACTTCGCTATCATAATTTTTTTGTCATTTCAAATCCTCAATAAATAAAACAAAACTTATAAAGCGTCTTTTTAATGGAATTCAGCTAATGTATCCCATCTGGTATTCAGAGGAAAACTGGTGGATTGGTGATTTGGAGATCTGGCACTTCAGTGGCTCTGTATAGAGGCGTTAATTATGAGGCTCCTGAAAGATCAAAAAAGCGAATATTCAACGGAAATGAGATTCCCCACAATTCATATTCAAAGGTGGATAAAACGTCTAGGAAGGAACCTTCAGAAAGTGTTCTTGACAACTTGAGTACATCAGATGAGAACAAAGATATTGAGGGACAAGTAGAGGTGAAATATGACGATGAAGTGGACAGGCTGTTGGATTGCCTTGGGCCGAGGTATTTGGATTGGCCTGGACCAGGCCCATTGCCAGTGGATGGAGATCTTCTCCCAGGTATAATCCCGGGTTATCAACCTCCTTTTAGGGTACTTCCATATGGGGTTAGATCTACACTTGGAACTAAGGAAGCAACAGCTTTACGAAGGCTAGCAAGAACATTGCCACCGCATTTTGCTATAGGTAAGGATTCTTTCCTGCAGGAAAGTCGCACTTTAAGATATTTAATTGTTTCAGATGATGTAATACATGACATGTTTGTCAACTTTTTCAAACATAATTCCTCAATCATTATAATATAAATAACAATAATTCTGTCATGTTAAAATAATTGTTTACACCATTAAAGTTATTGGTTTGGCGTGGGGGGCATTATTGGCTTATGTATTTCTAAGGACGCTGCCATTAAACCTTACACTATTCATTGATTTTAGTGGGAAAATATTCTAGTTTTAGTTCCATGATTTTAGCTCATTCTTACTTTGAGTCCACACATTTGATTTTTCTACTCTTGTGCATGACTATAAGTTTTTCTTCCACTTTTGGTCATCTCACCTCTCAGACAGAAACCAACCAGGGATGTGTGAAAGTTGGCTGGATAAGTGACCAGGCAGACCAAAAAATCACATATTGTACTATTATCTAATTCCACACATTATTTATGAGAATGCCCCTCATAAACATTCATACATAAAAGTTAATTTTAACAGTATGGACTAGTGGTAACACAACTTATGGGCTAAAGATACAAAATCTGAATGGCAGGCCACTAACAACATAATGTTCAATAATTAAGGACTAAAATTACAGTACCGTTTTCCCTATAATTCATATGCATTTATTGGTGTTAGCATGGCTTCATCTAAGTGTTTTTTTTTCAGGTAGGAGCAGGCAGCATCATGGTTTGGCATCAGCCATGATTAAGCTGTGGGAAAGATGTTCTATTGCAAAGGTTGCACTAAAGCATGGTGTGCAACTAACTACAAGTGAGAGAATGGCTGATGATATTAAGGTATACCATTTTACTCACAGTATTAGTGAATTTCAAAGATCATATCCTCATGTAATTTTTTAAAAACTTGGTTTGCAACCAACTACACGTGAGAGAATGGCTGATGATATTAAGGTATACCAATTTACTCGCAGTATTTGTGAATGCTAAAGATCATATGCTTACAATAATTTGCTAATAACTTACTCCGCTCTCAAATAGCTTTCCATTACTAACTAACTAACTAACTAACTAACTAATGACAGTTATTCACAAGTAACTATCTATTTATTTAACCAGCAAAGTAAAACATGCTAAAATGACAGTGTTCCTCCCATATCTATTTCGCATTTTCACCTCTTCTGCTCTTACTTTTAGAGCATTTTTTGGGATACATGCATTACAGCATTTAGTAAAGTTTCAACTATTTATAAAAAGCATCATGTTTGGGAATGTTTCAACTATAACTGTGAAAAACTATTTCAACAAATTTTAGCTGTTTTGGAGAAGCTGGAACCTTGTAGCTTATGGCTACTATGTAACATCATAATCTTTCTTTCAGCTACTATCATCATACTCATTTACCAATGCTAGTTTTTAGGTTGCATGGTTGCACCCAAGCAAAATTAATTATTTCCAAACCACTTTCCATCAAACTTTACTGTCTACCAAACAACAACAACAACAATACCCCAGTGCCGCAAAGGCTCCCTTACCTATGGTGGGGTAAGGGGGGTCGGATGTACGCCACCTTACCCATGTACTAAAGCACAAGGAGACTGTTTCTTGATGACACGTGAGGAAAATCACGTCGAAAATTGCATGGACTAACTGCTGCATCATAACAAAGAAGCGGCTGAAGCGCATACAGTTTAGTGAGCCATTTTGCTTTATTCCCTCATATTTCCAAGCAAAAAAATAGTGAATCGTTGGCTTAATCGGAAATGATGGAAATCTTTGCTGTATGGCCAAAAAATAAAAATAAAAACTGATTCTGATTATAAGCTATTATTTAAATAATATAATCTTTCAACGTGTTAGATATACTACACATATTGTAATTAGTATAAGTCAGTTGGAGATCGATTAATTAGTTAGTTTAGTTGAGCAGTAACCCTCTATATAAACTCTATGTACACTTCATTTCAATTTATGAGAATCTATTACATTCATCATTCTCTCTCTCTCTCTCTAATTCTATTATGGTATCAGAGCTTTAACTCGATCCAATCATGGTGACCTCCATGACTACTTCGTCTTCAACCGCTGGAAGCCCTACGCTTTCAGTAATCTTCAATCATCCTCTTCCGATCAAACTTGACTCCAATAACTTTCTGTTTAGGAAGCATCATGTTGAATCTGTAATGCGAGCTCACAAACTCCTGAAGTTTGTTGAAAAACCTAAGATTCCAGAACAATTCATCACTGGCGATGATGGCGAGACTAAAATGTTGAACGAAGACTACGTTATCTGGGAGCAAGCCGAGCAACAGGACCAGATGTTGTTTTCCTGGCTTCTCGCATCTCTCACTGAATCGCTCCATGCTCGTGTCATTCAGTGTCGTCATTCGTATTAAATCTGGAATGAAATTCAAAAGTTCTTCCAGTCAAACATTGTTGCACGAGCTCGTCAGCTTAAATCTGAACTCTACAACACTGGTAAAGGTGATCGATATATTACTGACTATCTCTTACGCATTCAATCCATCGTTGAAAGTCTTACAGCCATAGGAGAACCTATTTCTACCAAGGATCACATTAATGTAATCCTTGAAGGACTTCCAGAAGAATACAAGGCTCTCGTATCATCTGTTTCTTCATGAAGCATTCTGGATCCAGTTTCTGTCTCTGAACTTGAAGCTTTACTACCAGCCAAGGAACTTCGAGTTAGAAAACAGCGTGAATCATCACAACAAAACCTGCTCTCTGCAAATGTTGCTCGCCTAGAAACCTCAACTCCAAATAATGATTCTACATCTCAAAACACTACAGAAAATTCATCTGCTTATGTTGCTCAATTTCCTAATTACAATAATAATACTCCCTACAAAGGTAGAGGTCATGGAGGCCCCTTCAGAGAACGTGGAGGTCATTATGGAGGTCGATACCCTGTTGTTTGTCAAGTATGTGGTAAATCTGGCCACATTGTATTGGTATGTTATCATCGTTGCAACCCTACATATACCACTGCCATTTCTGGCAATTCCAACACTCCTTACCCTCAACTAAATCATTAATATCCTTCACAAACTTCCACCTTTTCAACTCAACCAAAATTTCCTCCAATCAATCCACAACAAAACCTTCCAGAAAACTACAACTGGAGTTACTTTCCATCTCAAACACCTTCGAACCAGTAACTTCAAACTCCTGCACCCACTGCTGCCTGGGCATATCTGCTAACTCCTCTATACTTGGACCTCATACACATTCTCACACCTAGTTTTCAGGAGCTACACACCATGTTATTGCTGATCCACTAAATCTACAACATAGTGAACCTACTATTACGACTGAGTACTGACCTTGGTTTAAAAAAGCGCGCCTGAGGCGCGCAAAGGCGCGAGGCGCCCTAAGGCGATCACGTTATCGCATCTTCCACCCCCAGGTGGCATAGGTTCCAAGAGGCGTGCCTTATATGGCGCTTTTTGACGCCTTTTGCGCCTCTGAGAGGCGTGCGCTTCTCACGCATCATGGATGTCTCTTTTGGCGATTGAGTCTCTAGTCTTCTCCCTTCTTCCTTCTGCGTTTGGTTTGCTTCCGAGTTCCCACATCTGCAGTCCTGTTTCTTGTTCGCGTAGCAAGACTCGCAAGTCTTTTTCTTCCGCTACTTTCTCGCGTCACAGAGTAGTCGCGGGTAAGTATTTATTTCTTCTCTTCTACAGTTTGTTCTCTTATACGTGTGATAGTTTACTAATTAAGTATGTATTATTTTATATTTTATTACCTTGAAATTGTAGTGTTACTACCTCTGTTGGTCTGTTCTAGATCATGCTGAGTAGGGTACCTAAATATTTGATTTTATTTAACAAATATATAAGACAGCTTTTATTATTAACAATTTTTTATATAACATCTTATTAATTATGTTTTGAAATTTTAAGATTGAGTTTTCTGACTTGACTCTTGCCAATGATGCCGTTTGATATTTATTTCTTGCTATTGTCTTAATAAATATTTGATTTGTCTTATGATGTATGTTAAGATTGTTTAATAGTTTGAAGTATTTTTGTGATGTTATCATTTTTTGAGATGAGTGCTTCATGTAGAAGACTAGAAATAGTATACTATATATCTTACCAAAGATATGATGTTAAGATCCGTGAGGCGCGCGCCTCGTCGCCTAGCGCCTCGCGCCTCGGGTAAATCAATGAAAACGCCTCGTGCCGCCTCGCGCCTTTTAAAACTAAGGTACTGACAAGCTCTTCATGGGCAATGGTCAAGGTTTGGATATTAAGTCTATTGGTTTCTCTTCCTTTTCTTCCCCTTATCATCCCTCTTATACTCTTTTCCTTAACAATATTCTCCATTCCATAACCAAAAACTTGCTCAGTTTGCCAGAGATAACAATGCTTTCTGGAATTTCACCCTCATGAATACTTTGTCAAATCACAGGCTTCTAAGAAGGTCCTATTACATGGAATTCTGGGTGCAGATGGTCTTTACAAGTTTCAGTCTCTTCCAGCACTTGTTTCTTGTCAATCTGTTTCTCACAATAAATCTTGTAATAACATTCAGTCTTGTAATAGTTCTATATCTTGTAATCTGTGGCATTTGAGGTTTGGTCATCCTCGTCTTGAGTCTCTAAAATCTGTACTGAAATATTGTAATATTCCTACTGTTAATAAAAGTGCAATTGACTTTTGCTCATCTTGTTGTCTTGGCAAAGCACACAGACTCCCATCATCCCCCTCCACTACTATTTTTCACTCACCATTTGGATAAATATTCACTGATCTTTGGGGACCTGCTCCCATTTCATCTTTTGATGGTTATTCCTACTATATTTCCTTTATTGATGCTTTCACAAGATACACATGGATTTATTTCCCTAAAAAGAAGTCTGATGCTCTTGTAGCATTTCAAAAAAATTATCAGTACATCCTCAATCAATTTTCTGTCTCTATCAAATTTATTCAGTCTGATTGGGGAGGTGACTTTGGAGAAACCTTTTCTCCAGTTGTTAAACCTATTACTGATAGGACCTTCCAATTCACAGAAATTAATCACAGAAGTAGGAACTATTTGTAAAAGAAAACTGAAAGCTTCATTAATAGAGGATCGGAACACACAGTCCCAAAGAAGGAGATAAACTCCAACTTCCCAGTCCCAGACCAAATGAGTCTAAACAGCCTACCTTTTATTGCCCACTCCCCTTCTATTTATACTACTCTATCTATTACATTTCTTCTTTACTCTTATTCTACCGGGTCCCTAACATATCTCCCCCCCTAAACATCCACCTTGCCCTCAAGGTGGTCGGTAAGAGACAGCCCAGATCTTCTGCTTCTTCTTCTTCCTTGCACCCCTTCCTTCCCAATATCTTCCAAATGTCAGGATCCTTAACTTCTTGACTTGAATCTTCCTTCTCACTGCTTCTCGCAAAAACAACATTAGCTCCTTTTTCTTCCAATCATCAATATTAGGCCCGTGCCTTTGATCATGCTGGTACTGATCTTTACCTACCATCCCTTTCTCATTCTTCCATGTGCTAATAGCTCTTGCTACAGGATATAACTCAAATCTTTGAGTTTCAGTTGCTTCACTCTTTGAAATTTCAGCATCTTCATTAGCCAACTTATTTGAGAAGGAAAACCTCAAAGGTTTTAGCAGGTAGGTAAGGATATCCACTATTCCAGTTGCATTTCCCCCAACTGAAGAACAGGAAAGCCTATTATCCATGCAAAACTTCCAAAGTAGGTTTTCTTGAAGGTAGACAGATTCTTCATTAGAAGAAAACAATTCACTTTTCAAGCCTTGTTTCAGCTTCAACTGTCCATTTGCTACAGCTTCCAATCCCACGACCATACTCTGAGTATTAAGATCCAGGACCACACTGATTTTATCCAACTGATATTCAAAAGTAAATTCATCAGCCCTTTTCAATCTATAATTACATGAGTCCCAATTTGCATAAAGTGTCAATCTGCAGTCCTTAACTCCCATCCCAGAATTGACATTGGAGTGAATGAAGACCGATCCTTCAAATGTACAAATCTGTGGATCATTCTTTCCCAACTGCCCTGCTAAGATACTCTGGACTTTTACCCCCTTTTTATCCCCAATAACTTGATCCTGGCTGTCAGAATCAGCAACATACTTGTCCATAGACACATCATTCACCAATTCTTTTTGAAAATTCTTCCTAGAAGTAACCCTTTCCACTCTAAGGCTATCAGAAGTGTTCATTCCTTCTAACGTAATCTTTGATGACTGACAACCTCTGGTGAGTTCAGCAACGGCATCAGCTTCATGTTCAAAGTTATCTGATGATTTCTTCTTGTTTTTCTTGTCACCATTCTGCTGATTAGTCAACTCCTGAAGCAATTCAGGGGACTCAGAGGGATATTGCGAAATGGGGTCTTCTGTTTTCCTAGAAACCAGAGGTCCTCTCACTCGCGTCTTTCTTGGAAGTGAATGGATGGCTGGTGAGGAAGTCTGCGAACTGAAAGAAACTGTTTGCGACTGTGAACAGTGACAAGAAGTTCGCGATTGCGAGTCAAGAGAAGTAGTTCGCGACTCAGCCTGCGAACTTGTGAGCGACTGCGACGAACGATATCTAGGGCTCCTCGCTCGAAGTTCGTTGTTGCCATGCTCTCCGTGGTCGGAATTTCTTGGATGTCCCTTGTGCGAAGTATGGTGCGACCTATGCGAAGGGTGAGAATGGTGCGATGTATGTCGCGAACGACTTTGAAGTCGGTTCTGCAATTCTGCGATGCTAGCTTGCATCGCCGCTTGCATCACGGCCATATTAGCCGCTATATTCGCCATCCTAACTTGCATTTGACACTGATTCCTCTCCACTTCAGTGAGTCGTCCCTCCATTTTCAGGCGTGGTTATCTCAGCGATCGACTTCTCTGATACCAATGATAGGACCTTCCAATTCACAGAAATTAATCACAGAAGTAGGAACTATTTGTAAAAGAAAACTGAAAGCTTCATTAATAGAGGATCGGAACACACAGTCCCAAAGAAGGAGATAAACTCCAACTTCCCAGTCCCAGACCAAATGAGTCTAAACAGCCTACCTTTTATTGCCCACTCCCCTTCTATTTATACTACTCTATCTATTACATTTCTTCTTTACTCTTATTCTACCGGGTCCCTAACAATTACTATCAGGATTCTTCTTACTCTTGCTGTCTCCCATCAATGGTTTATTCAACAGTTGGATGTCAACAATGCTTTTCTTAATGGGGATCTTAATGAAGAAGTTTATATGGTACAACCTCCAGGATTTCAAGCAGAAGACACATCTTTAGTTTGCAGACTTCACAAGTCTCTATATGGCCTGAAACAGGCCCCTAGGTCCTAGTTTCACAAGCTGACTGCAGTCCTATACAGTGCTGGGTTCAAGCAAAGCAAGTGTGATCCTTCCTTGCTTCTCTTTGCATCTTCTGGTGTTCAAATATACATCCTGGTCTATGTTGATGACATGCTTGTCATTGGAAACAATCCTGCAGCTATCCACAAACTCATCCACAAGTTGCATTCCTCATTCTCTCTTAAACACTTGGGAGACATTGATTTCTTTTGAGGGATCCAAGTTCACAAACTTCAAGATGGCAGCTTACACCTCTCTCAAGCTAATTATGTTAGAGTCTTACTCAATCAAGTTGGCATGATAGACTCTAAGGGAGTTAAGACACCTATGGTCAGTAGTTGCAAGCTCACTCATGGAGAGAGTGACTCACTGCTTGATCCTTCTCTCTAAAGATCTATAGTAGGTATCTTACAATTCGCTACCTTAACAAGACCTGAGACAAGCTATGCTGTAAACAAGTTATGTCCGTTCATGGCTGCACCTCTGCAAGAGCACTGGAAAGCAGTTAAACATATCCTACGCTATCGCTCGGGCACCATTACACATGGAATTATTATCAAACCCATTCCTTTATCCACTATGTCACTACCCATTTCAGCATTCAGAAATTAGTTCAAATAGGACTAAAACTATGGCAAAAAAAAATAGGACTTGCTATGTTTTTATTCCAAAATAGGACCATATGAGTCCTATTGAAAACATACCTATTTTTGCATTCCATTCTTACCCTTCCATTAAATATGAATTAAAAATAGTCAAAAGCCATAATTAAATGTTTAATTCATAATAAATTCGAAAAAAAATCAAAAATTCGTAGAAATATAATTAAAAAATTATAAAATTTTTATAAAATAAAAAATTCAAAAACTTTTTTTTAATAATTTTATTTTTAAAAAAATTAATAAAAAATAGTAAAACTCCGTAAAAAAATTTAAAAAAATATGGATGTCTTTCCCACCGCCTGTACTACCTCCCAGCACCACCACCTCCGGCCGATGAAAAAAATGCCATTTTCCCAGAAAAATGCCATTTTTTTCTGAAAATGCCAAAAAAGTGGTATATTTCTCTTTTCGAATGCCAGCATTTTAATTTTTTTCTGCCATAAATATGGCATTCGTAATGAACTTGACATTTTTTTCCCCTGGTGACTAAAGGTGGTGGTGCTGAGGCGGCAGAGGCGGCGGCGATTTTTTTTTTTGAGTTTTTTTTTAAATTTTTTTAATTTTTGAAAAAAAAATTAATTAAATTTTTAATATCGAAATGTTTTTCTTTATTTTTTAGTATTTTTTAGGAATTTTTATTAATTTTTATGATTTTATTAGGGATTAAAACATTTTAATAGCTATAAGGGTATAATTGTCCAAGGTACACATAATTAGTCCTATGCAAACATAGTTCATTTTTTAGTCCTATTTGTGAAAAGTGAATGACTTTTAGTCCTATTTTGATAATTAACTCTTTCAGCATTTTGTGATGCTGATTGGGCCTATGATCCTACTAATAGAAGATCTACATCAGGGTCTTGCACTTTTCTTGGTCCAAATATCATTTCTTTGTGGTCCAAGAAACAGTTGCGTGTTGCCAGATCCTCAGCAGAAGCTGAGTATAGAAGTATGGCTGATACTGCAATAGAACTTCTATGGGTTCAGTTTCTTCTTCATGAACTTCAAGTCCCCTTTGTCACTCCAAAAACTTATTGTGACAATCTAAGCACTGTTCAACTGGCACATAATCCTGTGTTACACTCTTGAATCAAGCATATGGAGATTGATCTGTTTTTTTTGTGCGAGAGAAAGTCCAGCTGAAGCAACTGCAACTGTTCCACATTCGTGCTTAAGACCAACTTGCTGATGTTCTAATTAAACCTTTGTCTGCTTCATCCTTCATTGACTTAACAACCAAACTCAGTGTGATTGCTCTTGCAGACCAATCACCCCTGAGTTTGAGGGGGGGGGGATGTTAGATATACTACACGTATTGTAATTAGTATAAGTCAGTTGGAGATCAGTTAGTTAGTTACTTTAGTTGAGTAGTAGCCCTCTTTATAAACTCTCTGTACACTTCATTTCAATGTATGAGAATCTATTACATTCATCATTCTCTCTCTCTCTCTAATTCTATTACAACGGAGTTTAAGTTAATGTCCTTCATTAATAATAGTTGTAATTTTGTCAATTTATGAATAAATTACTCTCATCTTAAGAACCATTTTTAAAAATTGTAACTAACTGTTATTTGAGAGGTACAGAGTAGTTCACTAATGGAATCCTGAATCCTCATTACTCAAAGCAGTGTAAGTTAATGTCCTTCATCAATTGTGGTTCCTTAAAACAGAAATTAACCAGAGGCATTCTGCTCTCCAGAAACAAGGACTTTCTGGTGTTCTATAGAGGGAAAGATTTTTTATCTCAAGAAGTTGCCGATGCATTATTGGAAAAGGAGAGGTTTGCCAAGGCATTGCAAGATGAAGAAGAGAAAGCACGTCTATGTGCTTCGGTTTTGGTGGCCCCACATGTCCATGTGGAAGATTCTTCTGGAAGAGCTGGCACACTTGAAGAAACTCTGGATGCAAATGCTAAATGGGGGAAAACGGTGGATGAGACGGACAAGGAGAAGGTGATGAGGGAAGCTGAAATTTTAAGGCATGCTAACCTTGTAAGGAAGCTTCAAACGAACCTTGCCATAGTAAGTATGCAAAGAGTGTTCTCTTTTATAAGTTTATTATTCACCGAAAAGTTATCATTAAAATTAACTTAAGGGTCAGTTTGGATTTCAGGTTTTGTAGAGGAAGGTTTTGGACGGTTTGGTCTATATCTTGAAAATTAAAATGTATCCAAAAACGAATAAAGAGTTGCTTAAATGTTATTCCTTCAACTTTATAAAATGTCAAACATATCAAGTCATAGGCTTAGCGCTCCAAACTCTTCTCTCCCATAGTCCCCCAAAAAGCTCCGTCCAAATTGACCCTATGGACACTTGACTGTTTGATATTCCCTATGCCCTATTTTACTTGTCCTATTTTCCTTTTTAGTCCATCACTCCGTCCCAATGTAATGGTCACTTTCTAATTTAAACAATACTAGCTTTTTACTTTTCCATTCCACCCCTTCTCTCTCTTAATTTTTTGAATATTTGACAGTGCTAGATAATCTTTCTGGGGATATTTTGGAAATTGTATTTCATCATACTGATAATCATGCTGAATGAAAAAGTTCCCTATAATTTAGAACGGATGGAGTTTACGGTAAGTTTGAAATGAGATGAAGTAGGATCACATTTAAGCTTAGAGGAGCAATTGTTTGACAGGCTGAAAGGAAAGTAATGAAAGCAGAACGGGCCTTGTCAAAGGTGGAGGAGACTTTGAAGCCATTAGAGCAGCCAGCAGATCCATATAGCATAACCGATGACGAGAGATTTATGTTCCGCAAACTGGGATTAAGGATGAAAGCTTTCTTACTTCTAGGTAAAGTTAAATCTATCCCAAAAACCCTTAAAATTCTAGGCTATGTTTGGAAGGTGGAACTTAGAAAATGTTAGGGAAAGGAAAAGATACAAAGGAAAGTGGCTTAGGATGTTTTTACTTGGACTATTTTCAGTCCCAGACTAGACTTAAACAGACAAGACCAGACCAGACTTAAACAGACCAGACCAAACCAGACTTCCATAGTTCCATAGTTATAAAATACACAGAGACCAGACATTTAGCAGACGTGACCAACAAATTTCAGTCCAAGTAAAAACATCCCTAATTTTTAGTTTCACTTTAGAACGTATGGAGGGAAACCAAATTTGTTGAAAACTATTTTCAAATTTTACATACTAGATTTCATAGTTTGTATGTAATACAAATACTTATGTAAAGTGAGTTTGAACAAATATGAGAGAATAACATAATTAGGAGTAAAAGGCAGCTAAAAATCACAAATAGGACCCCATTGTTTTAAATTCTCTAAATAGGACTAATCATGTGTGTTTAGACAAATATACCCTTGTAGCTTTTAGGGCTAAAATAAATACTCCCTCCGTTCCAATTTGATTTGCAAAATTTCCTATTTTGATTGTCCCAAAACCGTTTTCCACTTTCTATTTTAGGTATGTAAATAAAAACAAAGTTACAAATTTACCCTTACTTTTACTTTTTCACCATTAACCTAAAGGCACCTACTTTTAAAAACATGGGCAAAAGTGTAAAAAGCAAGCGTCATTTATTGTCATTCCTTGATCCTTGTGCCGGTCAAAGTTTGCAATTCAATTCGGGACGGAGGGAGTAATTAGTAAAATTAATACAATTAGAAAATTAAAAATTATAAATTAAAAAAAATTAACAAACGTAAAAAAAATATATACAGGCCTTTGCCTCCGCCTCTGCCTCCCCAGCAGCACCAGCTCCGATCAATGGGAAAAAATGCCAACATGCATTAGTATTGCCATATTCTTGGCATTTTCAGAAAAATGACATTTTTTTTACATAAAATGGAATTTTTTTACTAATCGGATGTGATTGTGCCGGGAGGCGGTAGAGGCCGTGGGAAAGGCATCCATATACATTTTATGTTTTTTCACTATTTTTTATTAATTTTTTAGTTTTTTTATTTCTTTTTAAAAGAATTATAACTTTTAATGTATAAATATTTTCTTAATTTTTATTATTTTCCCACGATATTTATTGTTTTTTACGATTTTATTATGAATTAAAACATTTTATTATGAATTAATACCCTTGGGGTATTAAGTGTAGAAAATTAATGTTTAGTCCTATTTGTGAATGATTTAGGTTTTAGTCCTATTTGTGATTTTTAGGCATGTTTTTGTCCAATTTGGGGCAATTACTAAACAAATATCTGTAATTGATTTATTGAGCTTGAAGCTGTCGTATTTTGTCCCACATATCTCTTCTTCCAAATTTCCTTCATATTTTCCTTCCGTAGCATTTACGACTTCCGAACAACTTAAGTTCAAAGTGCCTTGACAAAAAACACTTATGTCAGGTAGACGTGGAGTTTTTAGTGGTACCGTGGAGAACATGCACTTGCATTGGAAATACCGAGAACTGGTTAAGATCATTGTGAAAGCTAAGGATATTGAACAAGTAAAAAGTATTGCCTTAGCACTAGAAGCAGAGAGCGGCGGTGTATTGGTTTCATTGGACAAAGTATCCAAAGGGTATGCTGTAGTTGTGTTCCGAGGAAAGGATTATCAACGCCCTCCTACCCTTCGACCCAAAAACCTTTTAACCAAGAGGAAAGCTTTGGCACGTTCCATTGAGCTACAGAGACGCGAGGTTCTTTTCTATATTTTTAAACCTTTTCAAAAGCCTTTATTATACATTTTTTATGTGTCTATTGTTCATTAACATTTTTTTGTTTGTGAAACAGGCTCTTCTGAGTCATATTGAAACTGTTCAAAAGAGAGTAAAGCAGCTGAAGGCGGAAATTGTATGTTTTGTATCTGGTTGCTATTGTCCATGGCGTTTTAAAACAACATTTCTTGTTTCTTTTTAGCAATTTCTACCCATTCTGGTCTTGGCCTGAAACTTTCTTCCTTTTATTTCTCAAGGAACAAATGGATAGTATTAGATATCATGGAGATGAGGAACTATATGACAAGTTGGACTCGGCATATCCTAGTGATGACGAGGAGAGTGAGGTTAGTTTTCCTTTTACATACAGAGTATAAAATATAGGGGGGGGGGGTCATATATCACATTGCGCTGTGATATATGAATTGGCTCAATGTCACGTAAGGATCTGGAGGAATTGTAGCAAAAGTGAACTCAATTCCCATTTCATGGAATCTGACAGTGCATTCAATGTTTAGGCCATCCTAATGTTTTGTCCCTGTTCATTTCAAGAAAAGAAATGTATTGTCAAAACTGTTTTCCGCTCTTCTAAATAAGTGTGCCGAGGCTAAAAAACAAATATTTAGGATAGAGTATAATATTTCTAGGTACATAAATGAACCAAACGTTAGCTAAGGGTTGTATTTCTACACCACAGGTACTTTACATACCTGTTTATGTGTAGGTGATGTGTATACGCCTCTTCGTATGATTAAAAAAATTGTTTTTTTTGGTACAATAATAATTAACAGGAAGACGCGGGTGTCGATCAAGATGGCACTAATGAAGAATTTATAAATGGAAGTGACAGTTCAGGCTATTCCGAAACCAAGTTTACATGCGATGATAGCCAAGATGAAGAGGAAGAAGTAGTACTTCTTCCTAGTGGAACGATAATGTAATGGATTTTCGTATTCCAGGAATGTCATATCTATATGAGAAGTGTGACTGTTATCCTTGTATAGTTTCATCACTTGCATGTGAGTATTTTCTTGTTTGATAAAATTAAAATTGACAGAATATGTTTGAATTGATAAAATTTTAGTTGAAACGACTGAAATGACTGAATGTGCATAATTGTTGAAAAATGATATTTAAAACATTTTGCTAATAAAATAAAGAGAAACATATATGAAAAATAGATAAAATAGCTAAAATTGTCCTCTACGGGAAACTTCATTCAATTCATTTAGAAAAGTAATTTTATTTTATTTTGATTAATATATACATGAGCGTGTGAAATTAAGAAATTAAGAGTTATTTGTTTGGTAAACAAGTTGACTAATAATTTCAAAAGAGGTGTTATCAAAACGGTTTTAGAATGTTTTTGCTTTCATTCATTTCAATCCTAAATCAAATCAGCCACATCAAATTAGATTTTGACTATTACAAATTATAAAATATTAAGATGCAACTATGCAAGACATTTATCAGAAAATTTTAGTTCAATTAAACACATTCTTAAATTCCATAAAGTAAGCTGATCAGGGGATGATCAGGGGAAGAGGTTATTAATCTTGCATGAATGGTTGGTGACTTAAGCGTCATTTTCATTTTTCAATAAAAGTGAAATGTGAAGTCTAGTTTTGTATTTTAATTGAGGAAGGACATATCACTACCTAATTATATATTCCTTGAATATTGCTAAAGAAATGCTGATTTTCAAGAATGTGTCCACTTTTACGTGACTAAAATAAAGTGATAGTCAAATGTCGCCGTGCCACTGGCATTCCGTGTCATTGCCGTCGCCGCCAACCATAGTGACACCTTTGTAGTGACAACTTCACAACATTTCTGTGGTGATATCTTCGCCCAATCTCTGGCTACAATGACATCTTCGTCATCTGGCCACCACCGCTGACGTTCATAGTCACACAAAATTACTCCGGCCACTGCACTCCAGTCAGTTACCATCGCCTCTCCCCGACACCTGCACGACAACCACTGCCCCACCCCCAAACCACCTTCACTGTACCGCACGCTACCACCGCATTCCACCACCATCACCACCACGCTACTGTCGCCCGCCACCAGCCCTCGCCAACTAGCCCCCCTCTGCAGCTCCCCAACCCTCCCCACTCCAGACCCCTCCTCAGCCCCCAGTTATGCCAAGTCAGTCCACCCCAGCTCCCTAATCCTTGCACCTCCCCCACCCCCCACACCTATGTCCTTCCCACTGCCCCTCACCACCACAGTTGCAGCCACCACCTTTTTCATGATTCCGTACTTATCCAAATTCACACATGCGCTTTCCCCTTTAAAATCACTTTTAAAGGGTTCCGTACTTATCCAAATCCACCACTCCGGCCAGCCACCACCTATTTGTAAAAAAAATCACTTTTTGAATGGTTCACAATCTTTTCTTTTTCTATTGGATTGTTGTTATCTGAATTTGTAATTTGATATATTTTTAGACAAAACTTTGAATACTATGTTAGAATAGCATTGGAGTGGATATTCTTGCTTCACAGTGAATATCATTCTTTTAAGTGATATCATTCGAAATGCTATTCATTGAAATTCAAAGAATGCATGCAAGTCTGATGCAAATGTAGATTTTTTGAGTATAATACAACCCAAAATTTTAAATGGAATAAATCGTTTGGAGTTCTGAGTCACAATTCGCATATCACAATAGGGACACAAGTATGTAAAATAAACATGACCACATGAGTAACCTAAGAAGTTAAAAAAAGTTTTCAACTTTAAATTCTTAAAAAGCTAAAGCAATTAATCAATTAAAATTTAAAGCAATTAAAGCAATGAAAGTAATTAATCAAAAAAATTGCACTACTGTGAGAGTATAAGGGGTCACTTGTAGCTGGTAAGAAATTGCTAATCTTAGAAGTTAGAGGCTTAAAGCCACTTCTGTGCAAAGTACACTAGTAGTGTGCAAAGTCATGATGTGTTTTAGAACAGAAAATGTCCAAAGTACTATGATGCTTCAAGAAGACACCAAACATCAAATAAAACTAATGTTGTAGAAATGTATTACTCCCTCCGGTCCTAAATAAACTTCACACTTTGATTTCACACAAATAAAGGAAATAAATTTGACTTTACTGTAGAGTACACTGTTGTGACACTGTTTGACACTATTTTGCACTGTTTTGATGCAGATAATTTGCCAAATAAGGAAGGGAAAAGAAGTGTGAAGTTTATTTTGGACCTACCCAAAAAAGAAAGTGTGGAGTTTATTTAAGACCGAAGGGAGTATGTTTTTAGATCACAAAAATGCCCAAAGTACTATGGTGCTTCAAGAAGACACTAAATATCAAATAAAACTAACGTTGAAACAATGCATTCTTAAAGTATGCGGAGTATGCAAGCGAGACAAAGTACACACAATAATGATGAATTTTGTTGGATGTAAACTGTACCGTGAGCAGTGCAACCAAATATTTGGGACTGAATAAGTCCAACTAATGAACTAAAAAACCATCATAATATTTGAATAGTAAAATCTTTAAGCATTAATTGGAATCGTGAATTTTTAAATTTGGTTTACAAAATTGTGTTAGTTATTAGATTTCAAATGGTCTATTAAATTCAGTGAGGATTTAGAATATACTACTATCGCAAAACTAAAACAAAAAGGGTACAAAAATAAAATAAGAAGTTACTCAGTGACCATAGTGTGCATATTGCTGAAAAGGGAGCAGTAGCGTGAAACACTAATTTGGAAAATTAGGGCAGAATCCCAAAGTTGTTTATTCATCCTTCGGTTAGGAGTATTTATACAAGCTAATTACAAGTAATAGGGTTAACTAAATACATAAAGTGAGCCCATATAATACAAACTAAATACAATACAAGCCGAGCTCATATAATCGGCTTAACACCCCCCTCAAGTTGGAGCATGCGGCTCAAAAATGCCCAACTTGCGAAGTAAATAAAGAAACAGACGTTTGCCCAAGGCTTTCGTGAAAATGTCAGCGAGCTGATCTGTGGTAGAAACGTGGTGTGCAATGAGCAAGCCGGCCTGAATAGCATCGCGAACATAGTGGCAATCCACCTCGATGTGCTTCGTGCGCTCATGAAAGACAAAGTTGTGAGCGATATGTAAAGCAGACCGACTATCACAGACTAAGGACATGGGACAATAATGAGGAATACCAAGACTAAGGAGAAGGCCCTTAGCCCATTTTAGTTCAACCGTGGTAACTGCCATGGAACGATATCAAGCCTCGGTAGAGGAGCGAGAGACTGTGTGTTGTTTCTTAGTCTTCCAGGAGATAGGAGAGTCACCCAGGAAGACGATCCATCATGTGAGAGAACGGCGAGTAAGGGGACAACTAGCCTAGTCTGAATCACACCAGCCGGTAAAAGTAAGATCACATTCTGAGCGAAGAAGTATCCCCTGACCCGGAGTGCCTTTGAGATAGCGAACTATCCGTAATGTCGCCAACCAATGATCCTGACGTGGAGCCTGCATAAACTGAGATAAGATGTGAACATCATATGCATGATCCAATCGGGTGAAGGAGAGATAAATCAGGCGACCAACAAGACGGTGATATGGTTCCGGATCAGCCAAAAGGGTGCTTTGAGAGAGAGAGAGTGCATGATTTTGCTCCATTGGAAAAGCGGCTGGTTTGGCTCCTAGAAGACCTGTTTCGGAAATAATATCCAAAATATATTTGCGTTGGCATAGAAAAATGCCATCAACACTGCGTGCCACCTCGATTCCGAGGAAATATTTTAGTACACCAAGGTCCTTCATATGAAAGCAATTATGCAGATAAGATTTGAATTTAGAGATTGCTCTCGAGTCGTTGCCTGCTATAATCAAGTCATCAACATAAATGAGAACATACAGCCGAACAGGCCCTTGACACAGTGTAAAAAGAGAATAGTCAGAGTAAGACTGCAGAAAACCATAAGTCTTTAAAGAAGATGCCAATTTAGCGAACCAACATCGGGGAGCCTGACGCAATCCATATAAAGACTTCTGCAATCCACATACCTGTCCTGGCTGAGAGGCTTTAAAGCCTGGAGGAAGTTTCATATAAACCTCCTCCTGCAAGTCCCCGTGAAGAAAAGCGTTGTGAACATCCATTTGATGCAATTCCCAGTTTTAGCGGCTGCAACGGCTAAAAATATGCGCACTGTAACCATTTTGGCTACAGGAGCAAACGTCTGAGTGTAATCAATACCCTCTTGTTGATGATTGCCAAAAACAACCAGCCGCGCCTTGAAGCGCTCAACAGGGCCATCAGAGTGGTATTTAATTTTGTACACCCATTTACATCTGAGTGCTTTCTTACCCGGTGGGAGGGGCGCCATGACCCAAGTGTGGTTATTTTCAAGGGCCTGAATCTCATGCTGCATAGCTGCACGCCATCCGGCATCTGTCATAGCTTCTTTAAAAGACCGCGGTTCCCGACCTGCAAGTATTGCTCCAAGAAATGTACGATGACCAATAGAGTACTTGTCACATTTTACAAAATTAGCTATAGGATAAGACGTACCCGAGAAACTGTCAGAGGAGGTAGACAACGGGGATAGGCTCAGTGTGCTGACATCGCGCGTGACAAAATCCCGTAATAAAACTGACGGGCGCTTGGATCGTAGTCCTTGGCCGAGGACATCAACGGCTGACTGAGAAGCCGCGGCATGCTGAGACGACGAAGACATGTTTTCATTGTCCGAAGTGGACCCTTCCTCCTGGTGTTGGATAATGACGGGATCAGGATCCAATATCACCGGAGAGGAGTCTAACAAAGCAGTTTCATGCGTTGAGGAGTCCTAGGCGAAGGAATTGATGCCAGAAATGGGAAATCATCCTCATGGAAAATCACGTCTCCGGAGACAAATATTTCTCCCGTGATCCAATCAAGCACTTTCCATCCTTTCTTGCCATGTGGATACCCCACAAAAACTCCACGTCGGCTGCGTGGGAGAAATTTGTTTGCACGACATTTGGTATTGTGAGCAAAACACAAACAACCAAACACCCGTAAGTGAGAGAAATCGGGGGCAACACCATTAAGGAGCTCATAAGGTGTTTTACCGCCCAAAATACCAGATGGAGTTCTGTTAATAAGATGCACTGCAGTAAGAACACATTCACCCCACAATCG